GACACCTGCACCAAACTGATAGGGGACATTGCACCTTGTGTGGTGACACACAGACACCTCCACCAAACTGATAGGGGACATTGCACCTTGTAATGTGACACACAGACACCTCCACCACACTGATAGGGGACATTGCACCTTGTAATGTGACACACAGACACCTCCACCAAACTGATAGGGGACATTGCACCTTGTAATGTGACACACAGACACCTCCACCAAACTGATAGGGGACATTGCACCTTGTAATGTGACACACAGACACCTCCACCACACTGATAGGGGACATTGCACCTTGTAATGTGACACACAGACACCTGCACCAAACTGATAGGGGACATTGCACCTTGTATGGTGACACACAGACACCTCCACCAAACTGATAGGGGACATTGCACCTTGTATGGTGACACACAGACACCTCCACCACACTGATAGGGGACATTGCACCTTGTAATGTGACACACAGACACCTCCACCACACTGATAGGGGACATTGCACCTTGTGTGGTGACACACAGACACCTCCACCAAACTGATAGGGGACATTGCACCTTGTAATGTGACACACAGACACCTCCACCAAACTGATAGGGGACATTGCACCTTGTGTGGTGACACACAGACACCTGCACCAAACTGATAGGGGACATTGCACCTTGTAATGTGACACACAGACACCTCCACCACACTGATAGGGGACATTGCACCTTGTAATGTGACACACAGACACCTGCACCAAACTGATAGGGGACATTGCACCTTGTATGGTGACACACAGACACCTGCACCAAACTGATAGGGGACATTGCACCTTGTAATCTGACACACAGACACCTGCACCAAACTGATAGGGGACATTGCACCTTGTGTGGTGACACACAGACACCTGCACCAAACTGATAGGGGACATTGCACCTTGTAATGTGACACACAGACACCTCCACCAAACTGATAGGGGACATTGCACCTTGTAATGTGACACACAGACACCTGCACCAAACTGATAGGGGACATTGCACCTTGTAATCTGACACACAGACACCTGCACCAAACTGATAGGGGACATTGCACCTTGTGTGGTGACACACAGACACCTCCACCAAACTGATAGGGGACATTGCACCTTGTGTGGTGACACACAGACACCTCCACCACACTGATAGGGGACATTGCACCTTGTAATGTGACACACAGACACCTCCACCAAACTGATAGGGGACATTGCACCTTGTGTGGTGACACACAGACACCTCCACCAAACTGATAGGGGACATTGCACCTTGTAATGTGACACACAGACACCTCCACCAAACTGATAGGGGACATTGCACCTTGTAATGTGACACACAGACACCTGCACCACACTGATAGGGGACATTGCACCTTGTAATGTGACACACAGACACCTCCACCAAACTGATAGGGGACATTGCACCTTGTATGGTGACACACAGACACCTGCACCAAACTGATAGGGGACATTGCACCTTGTGTGGTGACACACAGACACCTCCACCAAACTGATAGGGGACATTGCACCTTGTATGGTGACACACAGACACCTGCACCAAACTGATAGGGGACATTGCACCTTGTGTGGTGACACACAGACACCTCCACCAAACTGATAGGGGACATTGCACCTTGTATGGTGACACACAGACACCTCCACCAAACTGATAGGGGACATTGCACCTTGTAATGTGACACACAGACACCTGCACCACACTGATAGGGGACATTGCACCTTGTAATGTGACACACAGACACCTCCACCAAACTGATAGGGGACATTGCACCTTGTGTGGTGACACACAGACACCTCCACCACACTGATAGGGGACATTGCACCTTGTAATGTGACACACAGACACCTGCACCACACTGATAGGGGACATTGCACCTTGTAATGTGACACACAGACACCTCCACCAAACTGATAGGGGACATTGCATCTTGTGTGGTGACACACAGACACCTCCACCACACTGATAGGGGACATTGCACCTTGTGTGGTGACACACAGACACCTCCACCACACTGATAGGGGACATTGCACCTTGTAATGTGACACACAGACACCTGCACCAAACTGATAGGGGACATTGCACCTTGTGTGGTGACACACAGACACCTCCACCAAACTGATAGGGGACATTGCACCTTGTAATGTGACACACAGACACCTCCACCACACTGATAGGGGACATTGCACCTTGTGTGGTGACACACAGACACCTCCACCAAACTGATAGGGGACATTGCACCTTGTAATGTGACACACAGACACCTCCACCAAACTGATAGGGGACATTGCACCTTGTGTGGTGACACACAGACACCTCCACCAAACTGATAGGGGACATTGCACCTTGTGTGGTGACACACAGACACCTCCACCAAACTGATAGGGGACATTGCACCTTGTGTGGTGACACACAGACACCTGCACCAAACTGATAGGGGACATTGCACCTTGTATGGTGACACACAGACACCTCCACCACACTGATAGGGGACATTGCACCTTGTGTGGTGACACACAGACACCTGCACCAAACTGATAGGGGACATTGCACCTTGTATGGTGACACACAGACACCTCCACCAAACTGATAGGGGACATTGCACCTTGTGTGGTGACACACAGACACCTGCACCAAACTGATAGGGGACATTGCACCTTGTAATGTGACACACAGACACCTGCACCACACTGATAGGGGACATTTGAGGAACATTTTGGTGGGCTGGTGGTGATGGTGGATGTTTGGACTTGATGAGATCTTAAAGATCCTTTCCAACCTTGGATTATTCTGCAATTCAGTTTCGTTTTCCAGCCCCTTTTGGATTGAAGCACTTTGTGGCAGGACTTCCTGCAGCTGAGTAAGGAGGGATTAAAGGAAAGGGCTGTGAGGTTTTCAGTTTAGTGGTTATGATTCTTGTAGGCGATCTCCTTTTAATCTTAAAATGAGGAGTTTTCATCGTGCTGGGCCGTTACAGTGCTGGAATCAGCTGGAGTGACAAAGCTGGAAGAAAAAGGACGAGCAGGAATGTCGCCCTGCCCTGACCTGAGGGAAGCTGTAATTCAGACGAGGTGGGATCCCCTGCAAGCGCTTTCTTTTGGTGTTTGCAGTCTGGGTTGTAGCAAGGAAGGCTGGTTGGGGTCCAAGTGCAGGTAGAACACTGGGACCGTGCCATCAGGTCAGACAGGAGCAGGAAGGGGCTCATCCCCCATCCCAGGTCAGGGACATCAGCTCCTGGCACCCCGAGCCGGGCGGTCCGAGGAGCAGCACGGAATGAATTGATTTGATAAATGGACATTTATTACGCTCACAAATTGGCTGAAACCAATTTCGGTCACATCAACCCCTGATAACTGCTGGGGTATTGATTTGTGTAAAGTAATACAGTGAATTTATCAGTTCAATAGCAGGCTGAAGGGCCTCTCGGAGACGCAGCGCTACAGTTACGTCGTTACGGATGGACAAAATAAACTGGGAGCGCGGCGGCAGCGCTGGAAACGGCTCCGAAGAAGAAAACCCGGCTGCCATCGTTGGCCTCTTCGCGTGGACGTTGGGCCTGAATTCCATGGGGAAGCGCGGCCTGCCCCCCACGTCTGCCATCCCTGCAGCTGAGCTCGCCCAGAGCTTCGGCGCAGACCTATGGAGTGGCAGCGGAGAGGAGCTGGATTGAGAACCCCAAGGGAAGGAGCGTTCCTGACGGCTTCCGGAGCTTTGCCCACGGGTTCTCAAGATCAGAAGCTCCCCATCCTTCAGACTGCTGTGCTTCGTCCCTAAACTTTCTTCCTCTTCCCAGCTCCGACCCTGCAGAGTTTGGAGGCGGAGAGCTGTGGGACGGCAGCCCTCTGCGTGCATGGCCAGAACGGTTTTCCAAAGTTCAGGACTGGGCCGTGTGCTGACTTTAAGGCAGCTTATAGGAAAGCTTTTACGCCTCGTCGCTCTGTCCATGTACGCAAGGCGCCCTGGGCAGCGGCAGTCAGCACCTTCCAGCCCAGCACGGCACTGAATCACAGGCAGTAACCTCGTGGCAGCCGTTATGCACGGTGTGTATCAGGAGGCAGCCGAGCTCGTATCCATAAAGCCTGATGTCCTGCTGAACAAAAAAGCGCTGCGCTTCACCTCGCCGCCTCCGCGGCGCCGCGCGGGCTGACCCCTGCCACTGGTCACTCCGTGCCCCCGAGCAAAAGTTTATTACCTTTATTATCTCCGCTGAAATAGCTGCAGAAATTGTCGCTGTCCTCGTTATTCCCCATCCATTAAAAACGACGACGACTGAGCGCAGGCGGGAGGCAGGGCTGCTCGGCGTGGAGATGCTCAGCAGTCGAGTCAATCCTCAGCCCTCCCGGCGTTCGTGCTGCTCTTGAGTGCCTTCCCTGTTCACCTCCTGCTGGCAGAGGCGACTTGTTGCTGTCCGTCCGTGGCTTTGTTGCGCGAGGATTCGCCCCATGTGCTGATGCTGTTGCTGAGGTTGTGTTCTCGTAGGATGGAATCGTGGCATCGTTAGGGTTGGAAAAGATCTCCGGCATCATCACAAGTTCCAACTCCATCCCACCCCACTGTGAGCCGTGCCCAAGGGGCGGCGGGGTCACCATCCTTAGAGGTGTTCAAGGAGCGTTTAGGTGTTGTGCTCAGGGCAGTGGGAAGTGTTGGCGATGGGTGGACGGCCGGACTTTGGAGATCTCGGAGGTCTTTTCCAGCCTTGGTGATTCCGTGTAGTCATTGAGGTCAGAAAACTCCTCTGAGATCCCCGAGTTGAACCCCGTCCCATCCCCAAAATGCTGACTGACCACAGCCCTCAGCGCCACATCGCCGCGGCTCTGAGCGCCTCCGTGGATGCTGACACCCCGCTGTGCCGCTGCCCAACCACGCGCAGAGAAGCCGTTCCTGATATCCAGCCTGCCCTGTCAGCACCGTTGGATGGGATGCAATGAGAGGTGATCGAGTCCAGCTGCCATCCTCACCAGGCCCACTTGTAGAATCACAGACCCACAGCACTGGGAAGGTTGGAAATGACCTCCAACCGCCAACCCAGCATCACCGTGCCCCACTGAGAGTCGTGGAATCAGAGCTGTGAAGGTTGGAAATGACCTCCAACCGCCAACCCAGCACCGCCATCCCAATAAGAATCCTGGAATCAGAGCTGTGAAGGCTGGAAATGACGAACCCAGCACCACTGTGCCCCACTGAGAGTCGTGGAATCACAGCTGTGAAGGTTGGAAATGACCTCCAGTGTAACTCAGCTGCCAACCCAGCACCACCATGCCCACTAAAAGCCATGGAATCAGAGCTGTGAAGGTTAGGAATGACCAACCCAGCACCACTGTGTCCACTAATTGTCATGGAATCAGAGCTGTGAAGGCTGGAAATGACCTCCAACCGCCAACCCAGCACCGCCATCCCAATAAGAATCCTGGAATCAGAGCTGTGAAGGCTGGAAATGACCAACCCAGAACCCCTGTGTCCACTAAGAGTCATGGAATCACAGCTGTAAAGGTTGGAAATGACCTCCAGTGTAACCCAACCACCAACCCAGCACCACCATGCCCACTAAGAGTCATGGAATCACAGCTGTAAAGGTTGGAAATGACCTCCAGTGTAACCAACCACCAACCCAGCACCGCCATGCCCACTAATTGTCATGGAATCAGAGCTGTGAAGGCTGGAAATGACCTCCAACCGCCAACCCAGCACCACCATCGCAATAAGAATCCTGGAATCAGAGCTGTGAAGGCTGGAAATGACCTGCAGTGTAACCAGCCACCAACCCAGCACCGCCGTGCCCGCTAAGGCAAAAGGCCGATGTTCTGAGCCGGTGCCCATTTCTCCCCCCGCGGCCCCATGCTGCCTGCTGGCGCTGCTCTGTTTGTTGCTCTTGGCTTAGAGCTCCCTTCCTCCTCTTCCACCTCTGTAGAGCAGCCTTTTGATTCAGTGCCTGCTCAGATTGAGGGGGGTAAATCACATCTGGGCTGCTTGTAGGAACCCGGATGGGGTGAGAGGCGTCTCCCCAGCGCCGCAGACCAGACCGGTGCAGCAGCAGGGCTGTGCTGTCGGAATTAGGGCAGGGGAGCAGATGTTTGGGCCTCCAAGCCCTCGTTGTGTTGTGACAGAAGTAGGCATTTCCCCTCGGTGCCTTAACCTTTGGCGTCACCCATGGAGACAAACCGCCTGCCTCAAGCCGGAGCTGCAGCCTTCCCTCCTTTCATATGCACGCGAGAAGTAATGCAAGAAGAAAACACCGACCAACAAATCAACAACAACGAGAAAGGAAAAAAAGAAAAAGGCTTGTGCAGAGCTGCTTTATTCACAGGAAGGCTGGCTGAGCTCAGAGCTGGAAGCCCGGCTCAGCCCCTGTCCCCCCTCCTCGCCGTCTCCCTGGCAACGCTGAGTGCACATCCTGGAAAAGTTTATCCGAAATCTGCTCTGGGCAGCTTTCCAAATCCATGCTAACCTGATTAGGTGTCTCTGGGGCCTTTGCTGGCTAATCAAATTAGGTAGCACTAATGGCAGGGAGGACTTTGAGTGGGCAGAGAGCAGTAAAACATAGTGTATACTTAGTGATAATTATACTTGCTTTTGTGTCATTGATTTATACGCCTTCTCCCCCCCCCCCCCCCCCGACTTTTGTTCCCCTGGCAGCTATTCGGAGGAAGGAGAACGGCTGGTACGACGAGGAGCACCCGCTGGTCTTCCTCTTCTTGGGATCATCTGGGATAGGTAACGTCAGCGGGATGCAGAGCTGCTCCGCACCGCAGCGTCACAAAGGTTGCAGCAGAGCTGAATCCAACCCCATCATCGTGCGTCCCGCAGCTCCACATCCCTGCCCTTCTGGGACACCCCCAGGGTCCCCCCCCAACTCCCTGGGCAGCCGTGCGGCGCGTGGCCGCTCTTGGGAGAAGATATTTCCCCCTCGTAGCCCCAACCCGAACCCAAACCCCAGCGCCGTCCCAAGGAAGGGCTGCACGCCCCCTCCGCGTCCCCCAGGCGCCCATCCGCATCCCTCACTGCTCAGCCCAGCTCCGAAATGAGCATCTTCCCCTTGCAGGAGCACAGGCCCAGCAGAGCCCTGCTGTCCCACGGGATTCCTCGTGGCTGGGAGCTGTGGCTGCTCACAAACCCCGTCTCCTCCTGCTCACGCGGGCTCCGATGGCTCTGCGGCAGCATCGTTGTGTTGGTGCTGATAATATTTCTCCTCGAGCGGCGTGAAGCTGATTGGTTCATGAAACGGGCAGAACGGGTTTTACTTGGGGGGGTGAAGGGCGAGAAGGAAAGGAATTAGAAATCATGAGATCTCAAGTAACAAATGGTGGCATTCAAAGCAACACCGGCGCTTCTCCTCTCTGGGCAAGGGCAGGGGATAAGATGTGAACAAATACTGAGTCAAGATATGAATGGATATTGGAATAAAGTATGAATGGATGTTGAAATGAGATGTGAATGGATATTGAAATGAGATGTGAATAGATATTGAAATGAGATGTGAGTGGATGCTGGAATAAAGTATGAATGGATGTTGAAATGAGATGTGAATGGATATTGAAATGAGATGTGAGTGGATGCTGGAATAAAGTATGAATGGATATTGAAATGAGATGTGAATGGATGCTGAAATGAGTTGTGAGTGGATACTGAAATGAGATGTGAGTGGATGTTGGAATAAAGTATGAATGGATGTTGGAATGAGATGTGAATGGATGTTGGAATGAGATGTGAGTGGATATTGGAATAAAGTATGAATGGATATTGAAATGAGATGCGAATGGATATTGAAATGAGATGTGAGTGGATGTTGGAATAAAGTATGAATGGATGTTGGAATGAGATGTGAGTGGATGTTGGAATAAAGTATGAATGGATATTGAAATGAGATGTGAGTGGATACTGAAATGAGATGTGAATGGATGTTGGAATGAGATGTGAGTGGATGTTGAAATGAGATGTGAGTGGATGTTGAAATGAGATGTGAATGGATGTTGGAATGAGATGTGAGTGGATGTTGGAATAAAGTATGAATGGATGTTGGAATGAGATGTGAGTGGATGTTGGAATAAAGTATGAATGGATACTGAAATGAGATGTGAATGGATACTGAAATGAGATGTGAATGGATGTTGGAATGAGATGTGAGTGGATGTTGGAATAAAGTATGAATGGATGTTGAAATGAGATGTGAATGGATACTGAAATGAGATGTGAATGGATGTTGGAATGAGATGTGAATGGATGTTGGAATGGGATGTGAGTGGATGTTGGAATGAGGGATGAATGGGTATTGAAATGAGATGTGAATGGATACTGAAGTGAGATGTGAGTGGATATTGGAATAAAGTATGAATGGATACTGAAATGAGATGTGAATGGATGTTGGAATGAGGGATGAATGGGTATGGAGGCAGGAAAGCCGAGCAGCGGAGAGCTGTGTTGTGTGAGTGGACGCGCTGTGTGGGGCTGGGGGTGCCTGGAAGACCAAGGGCCAAACGCCCCACGTGTCTCCATGTCAGACGTTGTTCAGCTGACCGAGGCACCAAAAGCATTCCGTCCTTCCCCTGATATTCTTCCTCTGGAGAGGAGGCGGAACGCTGACCGTGCGCTTGTGTTTGCAACAGGTAAAACGGAGCTGGCCAAGCAGACAGCCAAGTACATCCACAAGGATGTGAAGAAGGTAAAGCTCCTCTCCCCCGTGCTGGTGGCAATGTGTGCTGGAGGGAGACCTCAGCCTCGCGTCCGCAGGCAGCGTTGGGCCGAGGGGGCGCAGCTGCTCCCCGTGGAAGGGTTTTCCATTGGAAGCTTTGGCCTGAGGACAAAGCAAACGGGGAGCCATGCAGCCACCTCCTTTGGAGAGCCTCCCAGATGTGACCAAAGTCGGAGTGTTTGCATGGAGACTCACGTGCTGTGCTTCTTTTCTCTTCCAGGGTTTCATCAGACTGGACATGTCGGAGTTCCAGGAGAGGCACGAGGTTGGTCCGTGGGATGGGGGATGAGTTTGGGGGGGTCTGGGGCTGGCAAAGCCCCAATCAGTCATTCTATAAAGAGCAAGTTTTCAGTTCCTCTCGTTCTATTTGTATCAAGCACAACCTTAATATCACTTTTTCTTTCACTTTCCAAGTTGCCTCTGCAGCTTCAGCTCAACAGGTGAGAGTTTCTCACGGTAGGGAATTGTAAGAGAGCCCTCTTCAGTTTTTACACCATTTCTGACTGAAACAGCAGTGCAAGGGAGTTGCTGGGCTGAGCTCTGAGCTGTGAGGCCTCCTTTGGACCTGCTTGAGAAAGGCGATGGCAGTGAGAGTGGGTTTGGTCTCTTCTCAGTGGTGGCAGTGACAGGATGAGGGGAAATAGCCTCGAATCGTGCCAGGAGAGGTTTAGGTTGGATATCAGGAAAAACTTCTTTACAGGAAGGATGTCGAGCGCTGCAATGGACTCCCCAGGGAGGTGGCTGAATCACCGCCCCTGGATGTGTTTAAAACCCGTTTGGATGAGGTGCTCAGGGACCTGATTTACTGGAGGCTCCTTAGGGTACAGCGGTTGGGTTGTGGTTGCACTTGATGATCTTTAAGGTCTTTTCCAACCCGAGCGATTCTGTGATTCTGTGAAAGCAGGAGCTGCTGCTTTGGTGTGGGCAGAAGCCAGCAGGAGGACGGGACCACGGCGTGGGCTTCTCCATCAGCCCTCCTTCTCAGCTGGTGGTGCTGCACAGAGGGGGATGGATGTGCGACCCACGTGTCCCAGCTCTCCTGCGGGGGGCTCAGGGGCTGCCCCCCAACCTGCTGCAAAATACAGCGAGCTGCTGATGGGGATGGAACCAGCCTGGATGTGGAACAGAACCTCCTGGAAGAGTTGTTAAAGCACAGGAGGGATGAGCTGGTGATCTGAGACCGTCAGCATGGTTGCAGCAGGGGGACGTCGTGCCTGACCCAAACGGCAGCCCTCTGTGATGGAGGGACAGCACTGATGGACAGAGGGAGGCTGGTTGGTGCCACCTCCCTGGCCTTGGGCACGGCCTCCCACCTCATCCTGATCTCTGAATCGGAGAGACGAGGGTTTGAAGGCGTTTCGGTGGATAAGGAGCTGGGTGGACGGCCGTGGTCAGAGGGCGGTCAGCGTGCTCAGGTGGGGCGGCGCTGAGCGGCGTCCGTCCCGGTGCTCCTCAACGTCTTCCTCGATGACATGGGGTGGGAGAAGGACTGGAGAGAAGGGCCTGGGGGTCCAGGTGGATGAAAAACCAACCGTGAGCGCACTGCAGCCCGGCACGCTTTGGGAGGAGGAGGAAGAGGAGGAAGAGGAGGAGAGCACTTCCTTCGAGCCGAGAGGCGAGGAGGGCAGCGCAGAGAGCAGCCAGGTGCTCGCATCTGCCCTGATGGATGGCCGTGGTGCCGGGTGCTGCCCAGCATCAGCGAGAAATGGAGGAAAAGCAGGCGGCGCCGACGGCTCAGTGCGAAGAAGGAGTCGGGAGCAGCGGTGTAAAACGCGAGACGTGAAACACGGCGCCCTGACAGAGACGGGAGGCAGAGCAGAGGGGAGGGATGGCGCAGAGAATTGCACGGGGAGCGATGCGCATTTCTCAAGCAAACAAGGATGGCGAGGTCGGGAGCAGCGGCCCTGGGGGCAGCCCTGCGCCGATGGGCGTGCGGAGCTGCAGCTGGGAGCCCTGCTTGGGGAGACCCCGGTGTGGCTGCGGGCGATGCTGAGGGCTCGGGGCTCTGCTCTGCTGCCTCTGCACCCAGCTGGGCAGGTTGAGCCACGGGAGCTTTGTGGCTTCAGGCCGGGGAAGGCCAGGCTGGAGACTGGGGAACGGTTCTTGGAATCATAGAATCATAGAATCACCAAGGTTGGAAAAGACCTAAAAGCTCATCCAGTCCAACCTGTTACCAACAGCTCCCACTGAACCACGTCCCTCAACATTCTTCTTCCAAAGAGGGGTGATGCGTTGGCACAGCTGCCCAGGGAGAGGGGGGGTCGGGGTCCTTGGAGGTGTCCCAGGGCCGCGGGGATGGGGGGCGCCGTCAGCAGTTATGGGTTGGGTTGGATTGGGGGATCTTGGAGGTCTGTTCCAACCTTTGTGATTCCGTGGTTCTGTTTAGGGCCAAGTCAGTGGATGGGTTGGGTTGGATTTGGGGATCTTGGAGGTCTGTTCCAACCTTTGTGATTCCATGGCTCTGTTTAGGGCCAAGTCAGTGGATGGGTTGGGGTGGGATTTGGGGATCTTGGAGGTCTTTCCAACTATAATGATTCTATGGCTCTGTTTAGGGCCAAGTCAGTGGACACAGCGGGATGGGTTGGGGTTGAGTTTGGGGATCTCAGGTTCCTTTTCCAACCATAATGACTTCATCGTTCTGTTTAGGGACGGGGTCGTTGGGGGTGGTGTGCTGGGTTGGATTGGGGGATCTTGGAGGTCTTGTCAATCTTTGTGATTCTATGGTTCTGTCTGGGGTCATGGAGCATGGTGTGATGGTTGGGTTGGGGCATCTCGGAGGCCTTTCCAACCGTAACAATTCTATGGCTCTGTTTAGGGCCAAGTCAGTGGGCACAGCAGGATGGGTTGGGGTTGAGTTTGGGGATCTCAGGTTCCTTTTCCAGGTGCAGTGATTCTATGGTTCAGTTTAGGGCCATGGTCTGTGGACACGTTGGGATGGGTTGGGGTGGGATGTGGGGATCTTGGAGGTCTGTTCCAACCTTTGTGATTCCGTGGTTCTGTTTAGGGCCAAGTCAGTGGATGGGTTGGGGTGGATTTGGGGATCTTGGAGGTCTTTCCAACCTTTGTGATTCTATGGTTCTGTTTGGGGTCATGGAGCATGGTGTGATGGTTGGGTTGGGGCATCTCGGAGGCCTTTCCAACCGTAACAATTCTATGGCTCTGTTTAGGGCCGCGGACAGTGGGCACAGCAGGATGGGTTGGGGTTGGATTTGGGGATCTTGGAGGTCTTTCCAACTATTAGGGCTGATTCTATGGCTCTGTTGAGGGCCATGGTCAGTGGGTACGGTGGGATGGATGGAGGTTGGCTTGGAGGATCTCGGATGCCTTTTCCAACCGTAATGATTCTATGATTCTATTGAGGAACGTGATCAGTGGACACGGTGGGATGGGTTGGGGTTGGACTTGGGGATCTTGGAGGTCTTTCCAACTATTAGGGCTGATTCTATGGCTCTGTAGAGGGCCGTGGTCAGTGGGCACAGGGGGATGGGTTGGGGTGGGATTTGAGGATCTTGGAGGTCTTTCCAACTATAATGATTCTATGGCTCTGTTTAGGGCCAAGTCAGTGGACACAGCGGGATGGGTTGGGGTTGAGTTTGGGGATCTCAGGTTCCTTTTCCAACCATAATGACTTCATCGTTCTGTTTAGGGACGGGGTCGTTGGGGGTGGTGTGTTGGGTTGGATCTGGGGATCTTGGAGGTCTGTTCCAACCTTTGTGATTCCGTGGCTCTGTTTAGGGCCAAGTCAGTGGGCACAGCAGGATGGGTTGGGGTTGGACTTGGGGATCTTGGAGGTCTGTTCCAACTATTAGGGCTGATTCTATGGCTCTGTAGAGGGCCGTGGTCAGTGGGCACAGGGGGATGGGTTGGGGTGGGATTTGGGGATCTTGGAGGTCTTTCCAACCTTTGTGATTCCGTGGTTCTGTTTAGGGCCAAGTCAGTGGGTGGGTTGGGGATCTTGAAGGGATCTTTTCCAACCTTCACCGTTCTGTGGCTGCCTGGCAGTGCTGGGCCGTGTCTGCAAAAGCATTTCCCCTGCCAGGATCACTCTCCTCTCTCCTGTTTTCGAACCCCCCGCGATCACAGCTGGGAGCGCCGTTGCTGCTGATGGAGGACAAACGTCCTTCGCTCCCCGCGCACCGCTTGCTGTCCTTCAAACTGCCTCCCAGAAGGGCTCGTTGCAGAGGATGGAGCTCTCCGTTTGCCCTCGCCGAAGCCCTGGCTCTGCTCTCACACATCCTCTCCCCCCGCAGGTGGCCAAGTTCATCGGCTCCCCTCCGGGCTACGTGGGCCACGAGGAGGGCGGGCAGCTGACCAAGAAGCTGCGGCAGTGCCCCAACGCCGTGGTGCTGTTCGACGAGGTGGACAAAGCCCACCCGGACGTGCTCACCATCATGCTGCAGCTCTTCGATGAGGTGAGAGCAGGGCTTTGTGCCTCTGTGCCGCTCCGCAGGCTTTTCTCCGTGCCTGGCGCCTGCCTCCGAGGAGAGCACAACAGGCGTCCGCCTCCTCCCAGCACGCAGCTTCTCCCATTCGTTTCTCAGGTCCCCATCCATCCTGGCAGGCAAACAAACTCCGGAGGTGTCGCGGAGTTTTGTTTTTCTTTTTGTAAGGATTAATAAGGCCATTTTTCTTGCATAGATCATCGCGGCGGCAGCTCAATGTGAAATCAATTCCTGCACCGCTCGCTTGACAGGGCAATAACCCAAATGTTAATCTCAAGCACCCAACGAGGATTTGTGTCACTGTGGTAGAGATGTGCTGCCGGAGACAGATCGAGGGGAGAGACAGCCTGGGGAGCAGCTCGTCGCTGCCTTCTGCTTCTCTCTCCCTCCTTTACTTTGTTAATCAACAGAAGGAGCACTTCTGAGTGGCTCCTGCGCGGCCAAACCAAAGCTTGCTCTGCCCCACATCTCCTGGCTGGGGGTGGGATGGGATGGGGATGGGGATGGGATGGAGATGGGGATGATGGGGATGGGGATGGAGATAGATGGAAACAGAGACAGATGGAGATGGAGATAGAGATGGTGGAGGTGGAGATGGAGGTGGGGATGGAGATGGATGGGATGGGGTGGGGTGGGATGGGATGGGATGGGGTGGGATGGGGATGGATGGAGACGAAGGCAGATGGAGATACAGATGGGGACAGATGGTGGAGATGGGGATAGATGGTAGAGGTGGAGATGAGGATGGAGATGGAGATGGAGATAGATGGAGATGGGGATGGAGATGGAGATAGATGGAGATGGGGATGGGATGGGATAGGATGGAGATGGGGATGGGGATGGGGATGGGGATGGGACTGAGATGGAATGGAGATGGAGATAGATGGAGATGGAGGCAGATGGAGATGGAGATGGCGATAGATGATGGAGATGGGGATAGATGGTGGAGGTGGAGATGAGGATGGAGGTGGAGATGGGGATGGGATGGGATGGGATGGGATGGGATGGGATGGGATGGAGATGGGGACTGAGATGGGGAAGGGACTGAGATGGAATGGAGATGGAGGTAGATGGAGATGGAGGCAGATGGAGATGGAGATGGAGACAGATGGTGGAGATGGGGATAGATGGTAGAGGTGGAGATGGGGATGGAGATGGAGATGGGGATGGGGATGGGGATGGGGATGGGATGGGATGGGATGGGATGGGATGGGATGGGGATGGAGATAGAGGTGGAGATAGATGTAGATGGAGGTGGAGATAGATGGGGATGGGGATGGAGATGGAGATGGAGAGAGGTGGAGGTGGAGGTGGGCAGGCAGCCATGTGGTCCCTGTGAGATGCTGGAATTCCTGCAGCTCGCCCCCTCCCCTCAGGGCAGCATAAGGAAGCCCATGGTGGGGGAAAGCAGAGCCCTGTGCCCCTGGGGTTCCCCGCTCACGCTGCGTTGCTGCCTCGGTGTCGTGGCAGGGCAGGCTGACGGACGGCAAAGGGAAAACCATCGACTGCAAGGACGCCATCTTCATCATGACCTCCAACGTGGCGAGCGACGAGATCGCCCAGCACGCCCTGCAGCTCAGGCAGGAGGCCGCGGAGATGAGCAAGAAGAGGATCGCAGAGAACTTAGGTACGGGATGGAGCTCGTGGGCCCCTCCAGCTGGGGGTCACGGAGTCGTTGGGGTCGGAAATGGCCGCCTGGACGGATGGTCCAACCGCCAGCCCCACATCCTGAGCCCAGCACAGCAGCACGGCCCGCGGGAGGAGGCAGGGATGATCCCACAGCGCCTCTGCTTCGGGTTTGCCCCTCTCTGAAGCCCCCCAGCTCTGTCTGTCCCTGCAGGAGGCTTTCTTACACAGCGGGTCCATTTGTCCTGTGCTTAATTTAGTGGTGATTAGGGCCGAGCTACGCTTTCCTTCGCCTGTTAGTGAGGACTGAGCCCCCACGGGGGCACCCGATGGCTTTCTACCTCTCTACCCCCACCTCACCCTCTGTACTCTGAGAATTGGCCGCCCCAGTTCAGATCCTCCAAGCTTCCATCGGAGCAGCAAAAGGACAAAGCCTGGCTGGCGCTGAACTTTGAAGAATCGCATTTCCAAATGCCAAATGCTTTTCTCCCGAACGACGAAAGCATCGGATTTTAATTTCTGGATCTGTACGAAACAAAGAGCTGCAGCGAGAGCACGGCCAGAAAACACAGTGGGGGTCAGAAAACACAGCATCTCCCTGCCGTTGTGCCGAGCCCAGGCCTGGGGGTGGCACTGAGAGCAGCTGGGAGGGCAGCAAGTGGAGCGATGCGGGGAAGGAGATGCAGCATCTCTCCATCCGGGCTCGGGAGCAGCAGGCAGGGCTGCTGCTGAGCCCTCGGTCGGTGTTGATGGAAGCACCCGCCGGCGTCCCAGTCGCTCAGCCAGCCGTGGGATGCTGGAGCGGGGCTGGCAGCCCTTGGCTCCATCTGCAGTCAGTGGAGGGAAGTGAAGCCCGAGCTGAGCAGAGAGCTGCTGGGGGGGAAGGCTGTCCTGCTGTCCTGCTGTCCTGCTGTCCTGTTCACCCCATGCTTCCATCCCCGTGCCCCCGTCCCAACATTTCACACCTCCCCCCAGCTCTCTCTGTCCTTCTGTCTTACAGAGGACGTGCAGGTGTCTGAAAAGATCACCATCTCCAAGCAGTTCAAGGAGAAGGTCATTCGCCCCATTTTAAAGGTGGAGCTGCTTTCTCCTCTCCTCTCCTCTCCTCTCCTCTCCTCTCCTCTCCTCTCCTCTCCTCTCCTCTCCTCTCCTCTCCTCTCCTCTCCTCTCCCCTCCTCTCCTCTCCTCTCCTCTCCTCTCCTCTCCTCTCCTCTCCTCTCCTCTCCTCTCCTCTCCTCTCCTCTCCTCTCCTCTCCTCTCCTCTCCTCTCCTCTCCCCTCCTCTCCCCTCCCCTCCCCTCCCCTCCCCTCCTCTCCCCTCCCCTCCTCTCCTCTCCTCTCCTCTCCTCTCCTCTCCTCTCCTCTCCTCTCCTCTCCTCTCCTCTCCTCTCCTCTCCTCTCCTCTCCTCTCCTCTCCTCTCCTCTCCTCTCCTCTCCTCTCCTCTCCTCTCCTCTCCTCTCCTCTCCTCTCCTCTCCTCTCCTCTCCTCTCCTCTCCTCTCCTCTCCTCTCCTCTCCTCTCCTCTCCTCTCCTCTCCTCTCCCCTCCTCTCCCCTCCCCTCCCCTCCCTCCTCTCCTCTCCTCTCCTCTCCTCTCCTCTCCCCTCCTCTCCCCTCCCCTCCCCTCCCCTCCCCTCCTCTCCCCTCCCCTCCTCTCCTCTCCTCTCCTCTCCTCTCCTCTCCTCTCCTCTCCTCTCCTCTCCTCTCCTCTCCTCTCCTCTCCTCTCCTCTCCTCTCCTCTCCTCTCCTCTCCTCTCCTCTCCTCTCCTCTCCTCTCCTCTCCTCTCCTCTCCCCTCCTCTCCCCTCCCCTCCCCTCCTCTCCCCTCCTCTCCCCTCCTCTCCTCTCCTCTCCTCTCCTCTCCTCTCCTCTCCTCTCCTCTCCTCTCCTCTCCTCTCCTCTCCTCTCCTCTCCTCTCCTCTCCTCTCCTCTCCTCTCCTCTCCTCTCCTCTCCTCTCCTCTCCTCTCCTCTCCTCTCCTCTCCTCTCCTCTCCTCTCCTCTCCTCTCCTCTCCTCTCCCTTTCTCTACTCCCCTCCATCTCCCCTCCCCTCTCCATTCCAACCCCAACCCCAAACCCAACCCTAATCCCAACACCAATCCTAACCTCAGCCTCAATCCTAACTCTAACCCTAAACCCACCCGTAACCCCAACCCCAAACTCACCCCCAACCCAAACCCTAATCCCAATCCCACCTCTAACCCTAACCCCAACTCCAGCCTTAAACCCAACCCTAATCCCAACCCCAACACCAACCCAGACCTCAACCTCGATCCTAAATCTAGCCCCAACCTCAACCCATTACCCCACCCCCAAATCTGACCCCAACTCCAATCCCAATCTCAATCTCAATCCAACCCCAACCCCAACCCAAACCTTATCCCCAACCCTAAACCTAACCCCAACCCCATTCTCAACCCTAATCCCAGCCCAACCCCAACCCAAACCTCACCCCCAACCCTAAACCTAACCCCAACCCCATTCTCAATCCTAATCCCATCCCGACCCAACCCCCCCCAACTTCAACCCTAATCCCAACCCCACCCCCAATCTCAACCCTAATCTCAACCCTAATCTCAGCCCTAATCCCAACCCAACCCCAACCCAAACCTCATCCCCAACCCTAACCCTAACCCCAACCCCATCCTAATCCCAACCCATCCAACCCCCCCAACTTCAACCCTAATCCCAACCCCACCCCCAAACTCATCCCTAATCTCAACCCTAATCTCAGCCCTAATCCCAACCCAACCCCAACCCAAACCTCACCCCCACCACCCATCTCAATCCCAATCCTCCTCCAACCCAACCCAGCCCCATCCCCGCCCCACACAGCACCCATTGGAGCTGGGGGGCCCCCCCACGTCCCCCCGCGTCCCCCTGACCCCCCCCATCCCCACAGGCTCACTTCAGACGGGACGAATTCCTGGGCAGGATCAACGAAATCGTTTATTTCCTCCCCTTCTGCCACTCGGAGCTCATCCAGCTCGTCAACAAGGAGCTCAGCTTCTGGGCCAAGAAAGTACGTGAGGAGCGAGAGGAAGAGACCCCCACCCCAAGGACACCCCCACCCTCAAACCCTCCCCGTCCCCCTTGGTGGGAGCTCAGCCCCTTCTCTCCCCCCCAGGCCAAAGCGCGGCACAACATCACTCTGCTGTGGGACCGGGAGGTGCTGGACGTGTTGGCCGACGGCTACAACCTGCACTACGGCGCCAGGTCCATCAAGCACGAGGTGAGGCTCCGCTGGGTGCTGGGTGGGCACCGGGACCCCCGAGTCCCTCCTATGGGGAGCCTCTGTGGGTCCGTGCGCGTGGCCGGCCTGTGGATGGGTGCACACGTGGGTGCCAAGGGCCAAACGTGGGGTGCAGAACCAGTGGTGGCTCCATGCTGGTGTCCTTCCAATGGAAGAGGGTGCACCCGTGGGTGCCAAGGGCAAAATGTGGGGTGGAGAACCAGAGGTGGGTCCTCGTTTGTGTCCTTCCAATGGAAGAGGGTGCACCCATGGGTGCCAAGGGCAAAATGTGGGGTGGAGAACCAGAGGTGGGTCCTCGTTTGTGTCCTTCCAATGGAAGAGGGTGCACCCGTGGGTGCCAAGGGCAAAATGTGGGGTGGAGAACCAGAGGTGGGTCCTTGTTTGTGTCCTTCCAATGGGGGAGAGTGCACCCGTGGGTCCCAAGGGCTGAGCATGGGGTGCAGCACCAATGGGTGCATGCTGGTGGCCTTCCAATGGGGGAGGGTGCACCCGTGGGTGCCAAGGGCAAAACATGGGGTGGAGAACCAGAGGTGGGTCCTCGTTTGTGTCCTTCCAATGGAAGAGGGTGCACCCATGGGTGCCAAGGGCAAAATGTGGGGTGGAGAACCAGAGGTGGGTCCGTGTTTGTGTCCTTCCAATAGAAGAGGGGGCACCCATGGGTCCTTAGGGCCAAACGTGGGGTGGAGCGTCAGTGGTGGCTCCATGCTGTGTCCTTCCAGTGGAAGAGGGTGCACCCATGGGTCCCAAGGGGCAAACATGGGTTGGAGCATCAATGGTGGCTCCATGCTGGTGTCCATCCCTTGGAAGGGAGCACCCATGGGTCCATGGTGTGTCCTTCCCATAGAAGAAGGTGCACCCATGGGTCCCAAGAGCTGAGCACAGGGTACAGCACCAATGGGTCCATGCTGGTGTCCATCCCATGGAAGAGGGTGCACCCATGGGTCCATTCTGGTGTCCTTCCAATGGAAGAGGGTGCACCCATGGGTCGCAAGGGGCAAACATGGGTTGGAGCACCAATGGTGGCTCCATGCTGGTGTCATTCAATGAGAGAGGGTGCACCCATGGGTCCACTCTGGTGTCCTTCCAATGGAAGAAGGTGCACCCTTGGGTCCCAAGGGGCAAGCATCGGTTGGAGCATCAATGGTGGCTCCATCCTGCTGTCCATCCTGTGGAAGAGGGAGCACCCATGGGTCCCAAGGGCTGAGCATGGGGTGCAGCACCAATGGATCCGCGCTGCTGTCCTTCCAATGGAAGAAGGTGCATCCATGGGTCCCAAGGAGCAAACACTGGTTGGAGCACCCATGGTGGCTCCATGCTGGTGTCCATCCCACGGAAGGGTGCACCCATGGGTCCATTCTGGTGTCCTTCCAATGGAGGAGGGTGCACCCATGGGTCCACTCTGGTGTCCTTCCAATGGAAGAGGGTGCACCCATGGGTCCTAAGGGCTGAGCACAGGATGGAGCACCCATGGGTCCATGTTGTGTCCTTCCAATGGAAGAAGGTGCACCCGTGGGTCCCAAGGGCCGAGCACAGGGTGGAGCACCTATGGGTCCATGCTGCGTCCTTCCAATGGAAGAGGGTGCACCCATGGGTCCCAAGGGCCAAACATCGGTTGGAGCACCAATGGTGGCTCAGTGCTGGTGTCCATCCCATGGAAGAGGGAGCACCCATGGGTCCCAAGGGCCGAGCACGGGGTGGAGGAGCAGCAATGGATCCACGCTGCCGTCCATCCCGTGGCCAGGTGCACCCATGGGTGCCCTGTCAACCTTCCCCCGCAGGTGGAACGGCGCGTGGTCAACCAATTGGCGGCCGCCTACGAGCAGGACCTGCTGCCCCGGGGCTGCACCCTGCGCGTGGCCGTGGAGGATTCCGACAAGCAGCTGCTGAAGACCGACGAGAGCCCTGCGGCGGGACAGGAGAACAGCAAAGCGGCCACGTTGCGCCTGGAGATCGTGGAGAAGGGCAGCAAGGCGCGCAAGCTGGACATCCAGGCGCCTCTGAGCCCCAAGAACATCGCTTACTTCCTGTAGGACAGGAGGGCGCCAGCCACCCCAACGTTGGGCTGCAGGGCCGCCTGCGGGGCTCCTGGATGTGGGCAAGGATTTGGGGCAGGCGGCGCAGGGCCGGGGGTGACGGCTGGAGGGGCTTCGGGCTCTTCTGTCAGTGGCAATAAAGGCGCGCGGGTGAGGGTGGCACTGCTGGAACCCTGTGTGAAGGGGGGGGATGAGAGGAGGAGGTGGGTGGCGTTGGGTTGGGGGCAGCCCCACAGCCGCCCTGCTTAAATCGGCCTCTGCAGGGGCACCAAGAGTTGCTTGCACCAAGCGTGGGTTGCAGCGGCGCCGTGCAGCTGTGCAAGGGCGCCACGAGCAGCAGGCGTTGGTTGCAGCAGGCAACGGGTTGCACCAGCACCGTGCAACTTTGCAAGGGCACCAAGGGCACCCAGCACAAGCGTGGGTTGCACCAACACCACGCACCTCTGCAAGGGCGCCACGTGCACCAAACATGGGTTGCAACAAGCATGGGTTGCACCAAGGCCGTGCATCTTTGCAGGGGCATCACGGTCACCAAGAGCTGGTTGCACCAAGCGTGGGTTGCAGCAACTCTGGGTTGCACCAACGCCGTGCATCTTTGCAGGGGCATCCGAGTGTGGGTTGCACCAAACGTGGGTTGCACCAACGCCACGCAGCTTTGCAAGAGCACCAAGAGTTGGTTGCAGCAAGCGTGGGTTGCAATGGTGCTGTGCTCCTCTGCAAGGGCACCACGGGCACCAAGCAGGGGTTGCACCAACGCCGTGCATCTTTGCAGGGGCATCCAAGTGTGGGTTGCACCAAACGTGGGTTGCACCAACGCCACGCAGCTTTGCAAGAGCCCCACATGCACCAAGTATGGGTTGTACCAAGCAGGGGTTGCACCAACACCATGCATCTTTGCAAGGGCATCCAAGTGTGGGTTGCACCAAGCACGGGTTGCACCAATGCCTTGCATCTTTGCAGGGGCTTCACAGGCATCCAAGTGTGGGTTGCACCAAGCATGGGTTGCACTGACGCCACACACCTTTGCAAGGGCCCCACGTGCACCAACTCTGTGTTGCACCAAGCATGGGTTGCACCAACACTGTGCATCTTTGCAAGGGCAGCCAAGCATGGGTTGCACCAAGCACAGATTGCACCAATGCTGTGCATCTTTACAGGGGCATCACAGGCATCCAAGCGTGGGTTGCACCAAGCATGGGTTGCACCAACGCCATGCACCTTTGCAAGGGCGCCACGTGCAGCAAGCACAAGCGTGGGTTGCACCAACTCTGTGTTGCACCAAGCACGGGTTACACCAACACCGTGCAACTTTGCAGGGGCATCCAAGCGTGGGTTGCACCAACACCGTGCATCTTTGCAAGGGCACCATGTGCACCAGGCATGGGTTGCACCAGCTCTGGTTGCAGAGCGCTTGCAGGGCCCCTGCAGTGCCAGGCGCTGCAGCAGCAGCTCCGTGCTCCATGCCAGGCACCAGGGATGCGTTGCAGCACCGCCGTGAGGTCGTCCCCCCCCCCTCACCCCCCTGTTCCCCCCCCTCACCCTCCTGTCCCCCCCCCTCACCCCCCTGTCCCCCCCCCTCACCCCCCAGCACCGGTGACACGGGGCCGTTCTGCCTCCCCACAGCCGTGGCGCTGCGCCCCCCCCCACCCCCCCCCCCTTTGCTCCCCTCCTCCTCCCCTCCCATCCCCCCCTCTGTGCCCCCGGCTCTGGGCAGCCACCGCAGCTCCTTGCGTGGCAGATTGCTGCCTAATTAGTTTAGAGGGAAGGCGTAATTGCATTAACTTTTCACAAGTGCAGCAGCTGACGGTGGGGCTCTCTGTGCTCGGCGGCCTCCAGCCCTAAGATCTAATTAACGCCGTTAGCGACCTGCCCTGATCCTGATCTGTGGGGTCGGGGGATGGGGGGCACCCGGTGCTGGGGGGGGGAGATGGGGAGAGGGAGATGGAGGGGAAGGGGGGAGGTGGGGGGTGAATGGGGGGGGGATTGGGGGAAGGTGGGGTGGGGTGGAGGCGGGATATGGGGAATGGGGGCGGACGTGGAGGTGGGTATGGGGTGGGGTATGGGGTAGGACGTGGGGATGGGTGAGGGGTGGGATGTGGGATGGATGTGGGAGGATGTGGGGATGGATATCGGAGGATATGGGGATGGATATGGGGCAGGATATGGGGTGGGACATGGAGATGGATATGGGAGGATGTGGGGATGGATATCAGAGGATATGGGGATGGATGTGGGGTGGGACGTGGGGATGGATATGGGAGGATATGGGGATGGATGTGGGGTGGGGCGTGGGGATGGATATGGGGATGGATATGGGAGGATATGGGGATGGAAATGAGGTGGGACATGGAGATGGATATGGGGAGGATATGGGGTGGGACATGAGGATGGATATAGGGATGGATATGGGGAGAACATGGGATGGGACATGGAGAGGAAATGGGGATGGATATGGGGAGGACATAGGGACAGATATGGGGATGGATATGGGGTAGAGCATGGGGTAGGACATGGAGAGGACATGGGGATGGATGTGGGGATGAATATGGGGAGGATATAGAGATGGATATGGGACAGGATATGGGGTGGGACATGGGGATGGATATGGGGAGGATATGGGGCAGGATATGGGGTGGGACATGGGGATGGATATGGGGTAGAATATGGGGGAGGACATAGGGATGGATATGGGGCAGGATATGGAGTAGGACATGGGCTGGGACATGGGGATGGATATGGGGAGGACATGGGGATGGATATGGGGTAGAATATGGGCAGGACATGGGGAGGACATGGGGATGGATATGAAGATGCATATAGGGGTGGATGTGGGGAGGACATGGGCAGGACATGGGGAGGATATGGGGCAGGACGTAGGGTAGGACATTGAGCTGGACATGGGGAGGGCGTGAGGGTGGACAAGGAGATGGGGAGGAGAAGGAGATGGACGTGGGGAGGACGTGGGGATGGGGAAGGATGTGGGGAGGACATGGAGACGGACATGGGGATGGGGAGGAGAAGGTGGACATGGGGAGGACGTGGAGGTGGGAAGGAAAAGGAGATGGAGATGGAGAAGGACGTGGAGATGGGAAGGGACGGGGAGGTAAACATGGGGAGGACATGGGGATGGAGATGGAGATGGAGATGGAGATGGAGATGGAGATGGAGATGGAGATGGAGATGGGAACAGACATGGAGGTAAACATGAGGAGGACATAGGGAGGACATGGAGATGGGGAGGAAGAGGAGATGGAGATGAAGAAGGACATGGAGATGGGAAGGGACATGGAGGTAAACATGGGGAGGACATGGGGAAGGACATGGAGGTGGGAAGGAAAAGGAGATGGAGATGGGGAGGATGAGGAGGTGGGAAAGGACATGGAGATGGAGATGGAGATGGAGATGGAGATGGAGATGGAGATGGAGATGGAGATGGAGATGGAGATGGAGATGGAGATGGAGATGGAGATAAAGAAGGACATAGAGATGGGAAGGAAAAGGAGATGAACGTGAGGAGGACATGGAGATGGGAAGGGACATGGAGGTGAAGGCGGGGAGGACACGCAGACGGACAGAACACGAGGACGGACACGGGACAGGAAGGAAGCGGGGAAGGATGCGGGAGGACGGGGAGCCGCACGGGGAGGGGGCGCGGGTCGGGATGTGGGGACAGGGAATGGGAGGACGGCGCCCCTGTGCTGGGGCTGAGCTGCCCCACAGCCCTGCTCAGGATCCGACCCCGCAGGGAGGGCACGCAGACCCCCTCCCCCCCCCCCCCCCCTTTGCACACAGACCCCCGTCGGGAGCAATTTGACTTTTAAATCCTCTTTAGTGAAAGTGTTTGTCTTGAAAATGGCCCCAAATCCCCCCAGATCCCCGCGGCGCATCTGAAAAGGGGAGAAACTCCGAGCCGGGGGGTGTGAAATTCAGCGGGGAACCGCGGGGGGGTGATGGGCACTGCTGGAATCCTATGGGGCTGATGAGAAATGGGGATGGGGGGGAGAAGAGAGAGAGTCCGGAATGGGGATGGGGTGGGATGGGGTGGGGTGGGGTGGGGTGGGGTGGAAATGGGGATGGGATGGGATGGGGTGGGGTGGGGTGGAAATGGGGATGGGATGGGTATGGGGGTGGAGATGAGGATGGGTTTAGAAGGGATGGGAATGGGATGGAGGTGGAGATGAGATTAGGAATTGGGGGTGGATATGAGGAGGGGTTGAGGAGGGATGGGGATTGGGATGGGGATGAGGATGGAGATGGAGGGGGATATGGGGCTGGGGTGGGAGTAGGGGTAGGGGTGGGTTTAGGAGGGATGGGGATGGGATGGGATGGAAATGGGGATGGGGTGGGAATGGGGATGGGGATGGGATGGGATGGGATGGGGTGGGGTGGGATGGGATGGGGATGGGGATGGGGATGGAGATGGAGGGGGATACAAGGCTGGGGTGGGAATAGGGTTAGGAATGGGTTTAGGAGGGATGAGGATGGGATGGGGTGGGATGGGATGGGATGGGGTGGGGTGGGATGGGATGGGATGGGGATGGAGATGGAGGGGGATACAAGGCTGGGGTGGGAATAGGGTTAGGAATGGGTTTAGGAGGGATGAGGATGGGATGGGGTGGGATGGGATGGGGTGGGATGGGGATGGGGATGGGGATGGGGATGGGATGGGATGGGATGGGATGGGGTGGGATGGGATGGGATGGGATGGGATGGGATGGGATGGGATGGGATGGGGTGGGATGGGGTGGGTTGGGATGGGATGGGGTGGGATGGGGATGGGATGAGGATATGGGATGGGATGAGGATATGGGATGGGATGAGGATATGGGATGGGATTAGGATATGGGATGGGATGGGATGGGATGAGGATATGGGATGGGATGGGATGGGGATGGACAGGACGCGGGCGCAGCCCTCAGGAGCGGCCCGACGTGCGGCTGTGGGCGCGCTCTGTACCCTTGGGGGCGGTGCGGGGGTCTCGGCGCTGGGCGGACTCCCACGAAGGGTTAAGGGCGGAGAATTGGAGTTGCTGATGGGGATGGGGGGGGAAGGGGGGGCGGCTCCTCCCGCTCTCTCTACGCCCGCGGTCCCCGGGAGATATTGTCATGCAAAAGCCCCCTCCGCCGTGAGCCATTGTCCGCCCGCTATATACGGGGCGCGGCCGTGCATGGAGCGCCGGAGGTAGCGCGGGGGGGGCCCGGGCCGGGGCCTCGAGGTCGCTCCATGTTCGCCATGGATTACTCCTACCTCAACTCCTACGATTCCTGCGTCGCAGCCATGGAAGCTTCAGCCTACGAATTCAGTCCTTGCAGTCAACCCGGCGGTTTCCAATACAGCCCCATGCGGGGAGGTTTCGGGGCCGCCCCCCCCCTGCCCTCCTCTCTCTACCGCCAACTGCGCTCTGGGGGCTCTGCGCGACCACCAACCCTCGCCCTATTCCGCAGGTAACGGCCCGACCTCCCCCCACCCCCCCTCCCCAAATCCCCTCCCCAAATCCCGTTCCGTGGGGGCCGTCGAGGAAAAAGCCGTGCGGGGATCCCTTCTCGAGAACCGAGGGAAGGAACGGCCGACGAACGGAGCGCAGCGGGGGCTGCGGCGGGGCTCCGAGCCGATCCCGGGGCCGTCCGTGCCGTTCCCGTTCCCGTCCCGTTGCGCTCCGTGAGCCGGAAAACTCCGCCGTCCCGAGCGCCGCGTTCCGACCCGCAGCGGAGCTTTGCGGCGATCCCGGTGTTTTCGAACCCCCCTTTCCGTCCGTTTCGCCCCTCCGGCCGCTCCGTTCCGCCCCGACCCGCTGCTGAGTTCTTCCCCCGCTCCGTTCGTTTCCACCCGTTGCGCTTCTCGTTGCGCTCTCCCCGTCCCGCCGCTTCCAAACGGTTTCCGTTCCCCCGGCCGTTCCATGTCCACGTTTCCCATCCCGTTCCGAACCCCGACCCGATCCGGAACGGTTCCTTCAATCCGGTTCGTCCCGGAGTTTCCCCGAAGCGGAGCTCGATGTGCCGCGCATCTCCGCGCCGTGCGTCCGTCCCGCTGCATCCCGACCTCCCGCATCCCGACCTCCTGCATCCCGACCTCCTGCATCCCGACCTCCCGCATCCCGACCTCCTGCATCCCATCCCGCTGCATCCCGACCTCCCGCATCCCATCCCGCTGCATCCCGACCTCCTGCATCCCATCCCGCTGCATCCCATCCCGCTGCATCCCGACCTGCTGCATCCCGACCTCCTGCATCCCAACATCCCGCATCCCGACCTCCTGCATCCCGACCTGCTGCATCCCGACCTCCTGCATCCCAACCTCCTGTATCCCGACCTCTTGCATCCCATCCCACTGCATCCATCCCAACCCCACGCATCCACCCCTGCACCGTGCATCCATCCCTCCCTGCTGCATCCACCCCTTACTCATGCATCCATCCCTGCCCCACGCTTCCATCCCTGCCTCACGCTTCCATCCCTGCCTGCATCCATCCCTGCCCCCTGCATCCATCCCTGCCCCCTGCATCCATCCCTGCCCCACACATCCATCCCTGCCTGCATCCATCCCTGCCTCACGCATCCATCCCACCCCTCTGCTCTCACCTCTCCACCAAACCCTTTCCATTCCCCCCTCATCCCCTCCCCTCCATTTCCCTGTTCTGTTGCATCCCGACCGGCTGTGAAACCATTCCTTCCTCCCCCTCCATCCCCTCGGGGTGAATCCCCACCCGGTGCGTCGTTCCTGCAGCTCCCCGTCCCCATGGAGCCCTGCACGGTGCAGCCCACCCCTCTCCATCCCATCCCTCTCCATCCTCTCCCTCTCCATCCCATTCTTTGCCATCCCATCCTTCTCAATCCCATCCTATCCCATCCCTTCCCTCTCCATCCCATCCCTTCTCATCCCATCCCTTTCCATCCCATTCCTCTCCATCCTTTCCCTGTCCATTCCCTCCTCCATCCCATCCCTCTCCATCTCATCCTACTCAATCCCATCCCATCTCCATCCCTTCCCTTTCCATCCCCTCCATCCCATCCCATCCCATCCCACCCCATCCCATCCCTCTCCATCACTCCCTTCTCCATCCCGTCTCTTTTCATTCTATTCCATCCCTTCCCTCTCCATCCCATCCCTTTCCAACCCTTCCCTCTCCAACTCTTCCCTCTCCATCCTTCCCTTCTCCATCCCTCTGCATCCCTCTCCATTCCCTCCTTCCCCATCCCATCCCATCCCATCCCATCCCCATCCCATCTCTCTTCATCCCATCCCACCCACATCCCATCCCAATCCCATCCCCATCCCATTCCATCCCAATCCCCAATCCCAATAACCTCCATCCCATCCCATTCCCCAATCCCAATAACCTCCATCCCATCCCATCCCCTTCCCATCCCACCCACATCCTACCCTCATCCCATCCCCATCCCACACCCATCCCATTCCTATTCCAAACCTATTCCCATACCCATCCCAATCCCATTTCAATCCCATCCCATCCCCCAATCCCAGTAATCTCCATCCCATCCCACCCCATCCCCACCCCATCCAACGCATCCCATCCCCATCCCATCCATTTCCCATCCCACCCGCATCCTACCCCCATCCCATCCCCATCCCGCACCCATCCCAATCCCATTTCAATCCCCATCCCAACCCATCCCATCCCCTAATCCCAATAACCTTCATCCCATCCGTCACATCCAACTCATCCCAACCCATTCCATCCCATCCCCCAATCCCAATAGCCTCCATCCCATCCATCCCACTCCATCCAACCCATCCACCCCATCCCATCCCTTTCCCATGCCACCCACATCCTACCCCATCCCACACCCATCCCAATCTCATTTCAATCCCCATCCCATCCCACCCCATCCCCCAATCCAAATAACCTCCACCCCACCCCACCCCATTCCACCCCACCCCATCCTATCCAACCCATCCCCATCCCATCCCATCCCCCAATCCCAATAACCTCCACCCCATCCCACCCCATCCCATCCATCCCATTCCATCCTATCCAACCCATCCCCATCCCATCCCCCAATCCCAATAACCTCCACCCCATCCCACCCCATCCCATCCATCCAATTCCATCCTATCCAACCCATCCCCATCCCATCCCCCAATCCCAATAAACTCCACCCCACCCCATCCTATCCAACCCATCCCCACCCCATCCCCCAATCCCAATAACCTCCATCCCATCCCACCCCATCCATCCCATCCCACCCCACCCCATCCCATCCATCCCACCCCATCCTATCCAACCCATCCCCGTCCCATCCCCCAATCCCAATAACCTCCACCCCATTCCACCCCACCCCCTCCTCCTCCATCCCTTTACCACATCCCCACTCCTCCCCCCCCCCCCGCTCCCCCAGCACCGCTCCTGTCTCTCACTCCCCTCTCCTCCCTTTATTTCCTCCCCCTGCCGGCAGTTCCCTACAAATTCTTTTCGGACCCTTCGGGCATCAACGAGAAACGAAAGCAGCGGCGGATCCGCACCACTTTCACCAGCGCTCAGCTGAAGGAACTCGAGCGCGTCTTCGCCGAGACTCATTACCCCGACATTTACACCAGGGAGGAGCTGGCCCTCAAAATCGACCTGACGGAGGCGAGGGTGCAGGTAGGGACCCCCGTCAGCCCCCACAAATGAAGGGGGGTGCAAGGGGAGGGGTGGCGGCGTCGCCCCCCTTCTCCTGGCGTCGCCCTACAGTGTCCCTATGGAGTCCCTATGGTGTCCCTATGGAGTCCCCATTATGTCCCCAAAGGCCCCATAGAGTCCCTATGGAGTCCTTATGGAATCCCCAGTGTCCCTACAGTGTCCCTATAGAGTACCTATGGCATCCCTATTGAGTCCCTATGGAGGCCCTATGGAATCCCCAATGCCCCTACAGTGTCCCTATGGAGTCCCTATGGAGTCCCTATGGAGTCCCTATGGTGTCCCTATGGTGTCCCTATGGAGTCCCCATTATGTCCCCAAAGGCCCCATAGTGTCCCCATAGAGTCCCTATGAAGTCCCTATGGTGTCCCTACAGAGACCCTACAGGGTCCCTATAGAGTCCCTATGGACTCCCCATACACGCTGGTAATTGCAGACACCCCCCCCCGGGGTGGGGATGCCCCTATGGGCACAAGGAAACCCAGCCTGTAGGGGTCTGTGCAAGGAGGGGGGGCTGCTGCAACCCCGGGACCCCCACAGCAAAAGGCACCTGGGTAGGGGTGGGCGATACCCCATAAAACCCCCATATAAACCCCACGCAGCCCCACGTTTCCAGCCTCTCCCCCCGCCCCAATGCTCCCTGCCAGCGACCCACAGAGCTCCCCCCACTCCTGGGGTTGGTGCTGGGTGCCCAGTGGGGACCCCCCGCAGTGCACACCCCCGGGATGGGGGCAGGGGGGGCTCTCCAAGCTCAGCACCTGATATTCACCCCACCTCCCTGCTGTGTCCGTCCTCTTGTGTCCCATCCCCACCCCCATCCATCCCCATCCCATCCCCATCCCCATCCCATCCCATCCCCATCCCATCCCATCCCCATCCCCATCCCCATCCATCCCCATCCCCATCCCATCCCCATCCCCATCCCCATCCCCATCCCATTCCCATCCCCATCTCATCTCTATCCCAATCCAATCCCCATCCCCATCCCCATCCCCATCCCCATCTCCATCCCATTCCCATCCCCATCTCATCCCTATCCCAATCCCATCCCCATCCCCATCCCCATCTCCATCCCATCCCCATCCCACTCCCATCCCCTTCCAATCTCCATCTTATCCCACCCCCATCCCCATCCCCATTCCCATTCCCATCCCCATCCCAATCCCATCCCCATCTTATCCCATCCCCATCCCCATCCCATCCCATCCCCATCCCCATTCCATCCCCATCCCACCCCCATCCCCATCCCATCCCCATTCCAATCCCCATCCCATCCCCATCCCATCCCACCCCCATCCCCATTCCATCCCCATCCCCATCCCATCCCATCATCATCCCCATCCCCATCCCATTCCAATCCCTTTCCCATCCCATCCCACCCCCACATCAACCCCATATCAATCCCATTCCCATCCCCATTCCATCCCCATCCCCATCCCAATCCCATCGCATCATCATCCCCATCCCCAATCGCATCCCCATCCAATCCCAATCCCAATCCCATCCCATCCCAATCCCAATCTCATCATCATCCACATCCCCATCCCATTCCAATCCCTTTCCCATCCCATCCCACCCCCACATCAACCCCATATCAATCCCATTCCCATCCAATCCCAATCCCAATCCTCATCCCCATCCCCAATCGCATCCCCATCCAATCCCAATCCCAATCCCATCCCCATCCCAATCCCATCCCATCATCATCCACATCCCCACCCCATCCCCATCCCATCCCAATCCCATCCCCATCCTCACATCAACCCCATATCAATCCCATTCCCATCCAATCCCAATCCCAATCCCATTCCCATCCAATCCTAATCCCATCCCCATCATCATCCACATCCCCATCCCATTCCAATCCCTTTCCCATCCCACCCCATCCCCACATCAACCCCATATCAATCCCATTCCCATCCAATCCCAATCCCATCCAATCCCAATCCCATCACATCATCATCCCCATCCCCAATCGCATTCGCATCCAATCCCAATCCTATCCCAATCCCAATCCCATCCCCACCCCATCCCCATCCCATTCCAATCCCCATCCTACCCCATATCAATCCCATTCCCATTCAATCCCATCCCCATTCCCATCCCATCCCACTCCACCCCCACATCAACCCCATATCAATCCCATTCCCATCCAATCTCAATCCCAATCCCATTCCCGTCCAATCCCAATCCCATCCCCATCCCAATCCCATCCCATCATCATCCCCATCCCCATCCCATTCCAATCCCCTTCCCATCCCATCCCATCCCCACATCAACCCCATATAAATCCCATTCCCATCCAATCCCATTCCCATCCAATCCCAATCCCACCCCATCCCACCCCGTATCTCCACTCCCCCCTCTCCCCTTTTTCCCCCCCCCCAAAGGTTTGGTTCCAAAACCGCCGCGCCAAATTCCGCAAACAGGAACGCGCCGCCAATTCCAAAGCAGGGGGGGGAACAGCCGGGACCCCCAACCCCAAAAAACCGGAGCCTCGCTGCTCCTCGGAGGACGACGACTCCAAAGAATCCAACTGCAGCCCCACTCCCGACAGCACCGCCTCGCTGCCCCCCGCCATGGGCAGCCCAGGGGGCAGCCTGAGCCCCAGCCCCGGCGCCGGGCAGGGCTTGGGGGGCGCGGGGCAGCCCCCGAAAGCGGCGGGTTGGCCGGGGGTGGGGGGCGCAGGGGGGGCGGCGGAGCTGCTGAAGGCCTGGCAGCCGGCCGAGGCCGTGCCCGGACCTTTCTCCGGAGTGCTGTCCTCCTTCCATCGGAAACCCGGCGGCCTCAAAGCCAACCTCTTCTGAGCGGCCCCAAAAACGCCCCCCGGCACCCCGCAAACTGGTGGCCACGGGGCTCCCGCTGCGCCCCAAAAGTGACGGCGGAGCCCCGAAACACAGCCTCCAAAAAGGGCCGAGCTCCGACCCCATTGAGCTCTGACCCCACCGAGCTCCGACCCCATTGAGCTCCGACCCCATTGAGCTCCAACCCCATTGAGTTCCGACCCCATTGAGCTCCAACCCCATTGAGCTCCGACCCCATTGAGCTCCGACCCCACTCAGCTCCGACCCCATTGAGCTCCAACCCCACTCAGCTCCGACCCCATTGAGCTCCGACCCCATTGAGCTCCAACCCCATTGAGTTCCGACCCCATTGAGCTCAGACCCCATTGAGCTCCGACCCCATTGAGCTCCGACCCCACTCAGCTCCGACCCCATTGAGCTCCGACCCCATTGAGCTCCGACCCCATTGAGCTCCGACCCCACTGAGCTCAGACCCCATTGAGCTCCGACCCCACTCAGCTCTGACCCCATTGAGCTCCGACCCCATTGAGCTCCGACCCCATTGAGCTCCAACCCCACCGAGCTCCGACCCCATTGAGCTCCAACCCCACTGAGCTCAGACCCCACTCAGCTCCAACCTCACTGAGTTCCAACCCCATTAAGTTCTGACCCCACTGAGCTTTGACCCCATAGAGCTCCGACCCCATTGAGTTCTGACCCCACTGAGCTCCGACCCCATTGAGCTCCAACCCCATTGAGCTCCAACCCCACCGAGCTCAGACCCCACTCAGCTCCAACCTCACTGAGTTCCAACCCCATTAAGTTCTGACCCCACTGAGCTTTGACCCCATAGAGCTCCGACCCCATTGAGCTCCAACCCCATTGAGCTCCAACCCCATTGAGCTCCGACCCCATTGAGCTCCGACCCCATTGAGTTCCGACCCCATTGAGCTCTGAACCCATTGAGCTCCAACCCCATTGAGTTCTGACCCCACCGAGCTCCGACCCCATTGAGCTCCAACCCCATTGAGCTCTGACCCCACCGAGCTCCGACCCCATTGAGCTCCGACCCCATTGAGCTCCAACCCCATTGAGTTCCGACCCCATTGAGCTCCAACCCCATTGAGCTCCGACCCCATTGAGCTCCGACCCCACTCAGCTCCGACCCCATTGAGCTCCAACCCCACTCAGCTCCGACCCCATTGAGCTCCGACCCCATTGAGCTCCAACCCCATTGAGTTCCGACCCCATTGAGCTCAGACCCCATTGAGCTCCGACCCCATTGAGCTCCGACCCCACTCAGCTCCGACCCCATTGAGCTCCGACCCCATTGAGCTCCGACCCCATTGAGCTCCGACCCCACTGAGCTCAGACCCCATTGAGCTCCGACCCCACTCAGCTCTGACCCCATTGAGCTCCGACCCCATTGAGCTCCGACCCCATTGAGCTCCAACCCCACCGAGCTCCGACCCCATTGAGCTCCAACCCCACTGAGCTCAGACCCCACTCAGCTCCAACCTCACTGAGTTCCAACCCCATTAAGTTCTGACCCCACTGAGCTTTGACCCCATAGAGCTCCGACCCCATTGAGTTCTGACCCCACTGAGCTCCGACCCCATTGAGCTCCAACCCCATTGAGCTCCAACCCCACCGAGCTCAGACCCCACTCAGCTCCAACCTCACTGAGTTCCAACCCCATTAAGTTCTGACCCCACTGAGCTTTGACCCCATAGAGCTCCGACCCCATTGAGCTCCAACCCCATTGAGCTCCAACCCCATTGAGCTCCGACCCCATTGAGTTCCGACCCCATTGAGCTCTGAACCCATTGAGCTCCAACCCCATTGAGTTCTGACCCCACCGAGCTCCGACCCCATTGAGCTCAGACCCCACTCAGCTCCGACCTCACTGAGTTCCAACCCCATTAAGTTCTGACCCCACTGAGCTTTGACCCCATTGAGCTCCGACCCCATTGAGTTCTGACCCCACTGAGCTCCGACCCCATTGAGCTCCGACCCCATAAAGCTCCAACCCCATTGAGCTCCAACCCCACCGAGCTCAGACCCCACTCAGCTCCAACCTCACTGAGTTCCAACCCCATTAAGTTCTGACCCCACTGAGCTTTGACCCCATAGAGCTCCGACCCCATTGAGTTCTGACCCCACTGAGCTCTGACCCCATTGAGTTCTGACCCCACTGAGCTCCAACCCCATTGAGCTCTGACCCTATTGAGGTCTGACCCCACCGAGCTCTGACCCTATTGAGCTCCAACCCCACTGAGCTCTCACCCCATAGAGCTCCATTCCATAGAGCTCCAATCCCATAGAGCTCTGTCCCCATAAAGCTCCATCCCCACAGAGCTCCAACCCCATAGAGCTCTGTCCCTATAAAGCTCCAATCCCACAGAGCTCCGTCCCCATAAAGCTCCAATCCCATAGAGCTCTGTCCCTATAAAGCTCCGTCCCCATAGAACTCCGTCCCTATAATGCTCCAATCCCATAGAGCTCTGTCCCCATAGAGCTCAGTTCCCATACAGCTCAGTCCCCACAAAGCTCCATCCCATAGAGCTCAGTCCCCATAAAGCTCCAATCCCATAGAGCTCCGTCCCCATAAAGCTACAATCCCATAGAGCTCCGTCCCCACAGAGCTCTGTCCCCACAAAGCTCCATCCCATAAAGATCCATCCCATAGAGCTCTGTACCCATTGAGTTCCCACACCCTATAAAGCTCCGTCCCCACAGAGCTCCAACGCCATAGAGCTCTGTCCCTATAAAGCTCCATCCCATAGAGCTCTATCCCATAGAGCTTCAACCCCATAAAGCTCCGTCCCCATAGAACTCCATCCCCATAGAGCTCTGTCCCCATAGGGCTCAGTTCCCATACAGCTCTGTCCCCACAAAGCTCCATCCCATAAAGCTCCAATCCCACAGAGCTCCGTCCCTATAAAGCTCCAATCCCACAGAGCTCCGTCCCCGTAGGGCTCAGTTCCCATATATCTCTGTCCCCACAAAGCTCCATCCCATAGAGCTCTGTATCCATTGAGTTCCCACCCTATAAAGCTCCATCCCCATAGAGCTCTGTACCCATTGAGTTCCCACCCCATAAACCTCCATCCCCATAGAGCTCTGTCCCTATAAAGCTCCGTCCCATAGAGCTCCAATCCCATAGAGCTCTGTCCCTATAAAGCTCCGTCCCCATAAAGCTCAGTTCCCATAGAGCTCTGTCCCTATAAAGCTCCATCCCATAGAGCTCTGTACCCATTGACTTCCCACCCTATAAAACTCCGTCCCCATAGAGCTCCGTCCCCATAAAGCTCCAATCCCATAAAGCTCCAATCCCATAAAGCTCGGTCCCCACAGAGCTCCGTCCCACAGCTCCCCCCCCCACCCCACAGCTTTGGGGGCTATGGGACCCCCCCCCCATTTGCCATTGGGGGCCATGGGGGGCACAGAGCTCCTGGGGGGGGGGGAGGGGGTGAGGAAGCACTTTAGGGTTTGGGGTCCCGGAGGCTTTGGGGTGCTGCTTTGGGGGGGGTTATCGGGGCTGCCCCCCAGCGGGGGGGGTGTGAGTGTGTGAAGCCCCCCTCCCCAAAACCCCCCCTGGGTGCTGGAGGAGGTTGGGTGGCTTTATTATTATTATTATTAATATTAATATTATTATTATTTGGGGGAGGGGGTGGGGGGGGGGAGGTGTCATTTTTTTTTTTTAAACGATTTTTTCGGCCTTGATCGTTATTATTATTACTATTAATTATTCTTAATTATTCTTAATTATGACGGTAATTATTTTCCAAGCGCTCGGTAATTTATTGTGAAACGCTACTAATCCAAATAAAACTTAATTTATTGAAGAAAACGCCTCCAAATGGCCCCCCCCCCCCCCCCAAAAAAAAAAAAATCCCCCCCCCCCTATGGGGAGGGCTGGGACCCCCCCCCCCCCCCGACCCCAAATTTGGGGATGGCACCAGGGTTTGGGGGGGGGGGGATAAAATGGAGCATCCTTCATCTCAGTGTGAGGGCATTGAGGGGGGGGGGGGGGGGGATTCGTGCCCCCTCCTCCCCTCCCCCCCCACCAATATTGGGGGGGGGGGAGGAGGGGGAGGGGGGTGATAAGGGCACTTATTATGGGATTTTGGGGGGGGGGGATGTGGGGAGTACCGAGAGGGGGCGTCCCAAGGCACTGCTGGGGGGGGGGGGGGGAAGGCACAGGGATGCTGCAATGGGAAACTCAATGGGGTGGGAAACCCAATGGGGTGGGAAACCCAATGGGGTGGGAAACCCAATGGGCTGGGACCCCCCCATATTGGGGGGAGGGGGGGTGCAAAATGCCCACGTGGGGGGGTTTCTGCCCCCCCCCCCCCCCCCATAACAACACCCCATAGGCACTTGGGCAGCTGTAGGCACTGGGCTATGAATAACCTCCCCCCCCCCCCTCCAAGCTGGGGGGCTCCTCCATCAATAAATAAGTAATAACTTAAACACTGAGATTTGGGGGGGGGGGGGCAGCAAACACCTTCCCCCCCCCCCCCCAGCCCCCAAAATGAAATTCTCTGACCACGAATGCCCCTCAATTCCCCCCCCCCACGCCGTGCCCTGTGCCCCCACCCCCCAAACGCCCCCCCCCCCCCCCGGCTGCCCCTCCAGCCCCATTGAGGTGGGGGGTGAGGGGGGGGGGGCTGTGTTTGTGTGTGTGCTGAGGGGGGGGGCAGCTGGATGGAATTTGGGGGGGGGTCACTTCCTCAGCTGCAGGCTGTCCAGGAGCGCACGCTTGTGTTTGGGGTCCAGGACGCCAGCTTCCTCCAGGTCCTCCTCCGTGATGTCACTGCGGGGGGGGGGACGGGGACATGAAGGGGGGACAGCATCAGGGATAGGAGCCAGAAGGCTCCCTGATCCCATGCAACCCCATAGAGACCCCCCTATTTCCCCCATACAGCCACAAAAGGGTCCCCTGATCCCATACAGTACCATAGAGACCCCCTATTTCCCCCATTCAGCCCCATACAGATCCCCCTTCCCCCATACAGCCCCACAGAGAACCCCCCCTATTTCCCCTACAGCCCCAAGAGGGTCCCATCCTCATTTGACCCCACAGAGATCCCCCTATTTCCCCCATACAGCCCCATAGAGACACCCTTTCTACCCTCATACAGCCCCAAAAGGGTCCCCCTATTTCCCCATTCCACCCAACAGGGTCCCCTGATCCCATACAGCCCCATAGAGACCCCCTAATTCCCCCATACAGACCCAAAAGGGTCCCCTGGTCCCATACAGCCCCATAGAGACCCCCTAATTCCCCCATACAGACCCAAAAGGGTCCCCTGGTCCCATACAGCCCCATAGAGACCCCCTAATTCCCCCATACAGACCCAAAAGGGTCCCCTGGTCCCATACAGTCCCATAGAGAATCCCCCTATTTCCCCATTCCACCCAACAGGGTCCCCTGATCCCATACAGCCCCATAGAGACCCCCTAATTCCCCCATACAGACCCAAAAGGGTCTCAGCCCCATACAGCCCCACAGAGACCCCCCTATTTTCCCCATTCAGCTCCAAAAGCGTCCCAGCCCCATTCAGCCCCACAGAGATCCCCCTATTTCCCCATTCAGCCCCAAGAGGGTCCCCTGATCCC